TCTCCCTCTCCTTATTTTTTTAATCTCTCTGTATCACTGACTCACTCTTACCCTCTAGCCCATTTCTCTCTAACTGTACCCTTTCTTGTTCCCAACCATCTTTTTCCTCACTTCTGTCCCATCTGCCTTTTTTGTCTGTCTTCCCCCTCTTTGTCTCTATAGGTCTTCATCTCCCCCTCCCTTTGTCTGTCTCCCCTTCTCTGTCCTTCCATCTCCCCTCCTTCTTCTGCCTCCCCACCCCCCACCCCTCTCTCTCTCTCACTCACACACACACACACACACACACACACACACACAGCTGCCAGTGTCATTTTTGTGATCTGCAGCTAGTATTCTCGCTCCAGTTGCATAGTCACAAAAGTGATCATTGGCAGGTGTGGCCGCTGCATGGACAACACAGACAGAACACAGGGTCCAGGGACTACCCCAAAGGCTACTGGGAGAGCTGGGGTTATGGAAACACAGAGAAGAGACAAAGGGAGTGTCCGAGGGTCTCTGGATTCTTGGGAACTCAGTGGAATGGGGTGGGGGCTGGGACAGGAAGCTGAGGGACTCACCCTGTCCTGACACTAAAACTACAACCAGGGCAGGCTCCAGCTTCCCCTGCTTTCCTCTCCCCGGACAGGGGGCTGAAGCCTGTCACCCTGGCGGGGCCTCCCCCGCGCTGCGGCCTCCTCCTGCTTCTCTGCCCCTTGCCAGGCTAGCCTGAGGTCTCTAGGTGCTGGGCAGAGAGCAGAGGAGCAGAGTTGGGTGAAGACCTGGGGAGAGTTTCTGGGCCTCAGAACAACGGTTTCTAACTGAGACCCATTGGGCCTGAGGCACTGGCTTCTCAAAACCAAGGCCAGGGGCATCAGAGCTATTTCCTGTTTTCCACATTTTAAAAATCTTTCTAGAACTTGGACCCATTTTAAGGCTGCCCAGGTAAGCTAAAAAGTTATGTTCCTTTGCGTTAGGCTGAATTATGTAAACCCCGTTTGCATTAGGCACCCAGAACAAATTGCTATTTAATATAGTATTTATTGAAGGTCCACCAGAGGGAAGTCTCAGAAAGTGACCCCAAGCAAGTTCATTGCCATCCTTCTGTTTCCTTACCTGCAAAATGATATGATGACCAGCCATACTTTAGTGGGTTGTGGCAAGAATCAAAAGGATAAAGTCTGCAAAATCTAGTTTAAGTGCCTGGCACGTAGCAAGGCTCGATTTTCAATACTGTTTATTATCATTATCATTATTATTAGATGGTTGGGAACCACTATTGCAACTTCTGTTCAACCCCAGCCCTCTGATGTGTAAATGAATGTGCTAGAAAAACTATGTGGACTCCTTTAAAATCACTCAAAGTCACCTTGCCCCTACAAATCTGGGGGGAATCTTCCCCTGAAACAACTTATTAGCCCCTAAAACAGTCCTCCCTAGTCCTGGCCCATAGTGGGTATCAGGATTCTGCAGGTTATTCTCAAAGCAAGAAGGTAATAATGGGTAAGGGCAGGTCAGACTGGGTCACTAAAGGAAGGAGAAATCCTCTGCTTCTTGGTGAGCTGTGGTGAGGGCAGCAGAGAAGAGTCTGAGGTCCAAGTGGACCCCAAGTCTGAATGTGACCCAACCACGGAGTGCCTGTGCTGAGGTGAGGCTGATCCAGGGGGATAGGCGGCAGCACTGCTTTGAGTTGAGGGATTGTCCTGGATAAAGGAGCTTTGTGCCCAGAGCTATAAGACCTCACAGCTATGAGCACTGAAGGGAACCTGAGTGGTGAAGGGGTCAGCCTGGGCAGTTGTTGAGGAGGGCAGAGGGGTGTAATGATTTGTCAAGACTGACACCTTTGAACTCACCAAAAAGCCCATTCTCCCTGAACTTCTGGGAGCTGTGGCTGTTAATATTATGCATTATCGTTAATAGTAACTACCATTTATTGAGCATCTAGTGTGTGCTAGACCTGGCACTTAGTTATTTACATGGATTAGCTCATGTAGACATGAGAAGAACCCTAAGGAGAAGTTTGCTATTATTATCACCCCCATTTAACAGGTTAGATCAGTGAGGCTCAAAGAGGTAAAATCAGTTGTTGCAGGTGTGCAGTCTGGGCACAGAGCTTGTAAGTGCCAAGGCAAGCCCAGTGCTACCTACACCACCTGCAGTTCTTTGCCTCCAGCCCTGATTCCTCTCTCCAGCCCTCTCCCCTCCTCCGTTCTGGGCTTGTGGGGAAAAAAAGAGAGAGGGGTCCACAGATGTGTGTTTCGCTTTTCCTTTCCCTCTGCTGATGCCCTCTGGCCCTCACACCCATTTCTTGTTGCAGGAAGGTGAACAAGTGCTACCGGGGGCGCTCCTGCCCCATCATTGTGCACTGCAGGTGCGTGCAGGGGGCTGTGAGATGGGGATGGGAGGGGACAAGATGGTTCAACATGGCCCAGAGGGCCCTGAGGTGGAGCATTCCTGAAATTGGCCCTGCTGGCCCTATACCCTCCCCAGTGCACATCTCCACGCACACCACCTGCCTGTGCCCTCGATGCCGGCTGGCCATCTGCAGCCCGTGGGCTACATTCAGCATACCATGCTTTTAATAGCCCATGAGCTAAGAATGGTGTTCACATTTTTTAATGGTTAAAGGGGAAAAAGAAAAATGAGCAACAGAGACTATACGTGACCCACAAAGGTAGAAATATATTCCATCTGGCCATTTACACAAAAACGGGCTGGAAACCCATCCCATTTCCTCCTGCCTCCTCCACCCTAGGGTTGAGCCAGGGCTCATCTTTCTTATTGGCCCACTGCCCAAGGGACACCCCAGAGGTCCCAGGCTTCCAACTCAGGGCAAAGTTCCCAGGGCCCAGGTGCTGTAACCGTTCCCTCAACCTTAGCTCACTGACACCCTTTCTGAGCCAGTTCTAATGGCTCCACCAGTGTCCTCCCACCCCAGACCTTCACATCCCCCTCACCCCCCCCCCTGCTGAGTCCTGCGCTGGGCTGAGGCTGTGGCCCTCTCCCGTTTCAGTGATGGTGCAGGGCGGACTGGCACCTACGTCCTCATCGACATGGTACTGAACCGCATGGCAAAAGGTGAGGACCTTCCCCACAGTGCCTGCAGCCCAGCCCCAGGCTTTGTCCAATCCCCCAAGCCTCCCACCCCAGGATGGCCCAGCCACTGGGTCCTGTCCTCCTCTGGACACCCCATGAGCTGCCCTGTACCCCCTGCACCCAGGAGTGAAGGAGATTGACATCGCCGCCACTCTGGAGCATGTCCGCGACCAGCGACCTGGCCTGGTCCGCTCTAAGGTGACTGTTCTTTCCTACCCCCTCCCTCACTGCCACCTTTCCCCGGGAAAACCAGCAGCAGCTGCCTCTCCTGCCTGCCTCCCTGCCTGCTGTGTAGCCAGCCATCTCCCCCCCCACCCCCAAGTGGCCTCCCAGCTCCCCTTTTTAAAGGCCCCTTGAGGCCTGAGCAGAGACCAGGCCTTCCCATAACTCTCCTCCCACTGCCCTTCCCAGGACCAGTTTGAATTTGCCCTGACAGCTGTGGCGGAAGAGGTGAATGCCATTCTCAAGGCCCTGCCCCAGTGAGCCCAAGGGGCCCACAATGGGCAGCCTGGCCCGCCCCTTCTATGCCTGTGTGAGCATCTATCTCTGTACCCACTCTTCATTCCCCACCCGCACCTTGGTCCCTCCTGGGCAAGGCCCTTCCAGGAGGAGTGTTAGGAAGGTACGGGAAGGGGGAAGGGGCAGGCCTGCTCAGCCTCAAACACATGGAGCCCCAGGCGTCCCATGGGGGAGCTGGCAGCCACCCAGGAGGAGAGCTGTGGGCAGTCACTGCACCCAGAGCCTCCTCCTGCCTGATCTCCCTGGCCCGCCTCTCCCGCTCCTGGATGCTCCAAACATGTCTGTGGGGACACCCCCACCTCCCACCTTCCAGTGTGGACAGAACAGGGTGGAAGGGCCGCCAACCCCAGCTTCCCCTGCTTCTCCAGCCCCTGCTGCCTGCTGTTCCCGCGCCCTGACCCACATTCTGGCCCCTCCCCTTCCTGCCCTCACCCTCAGCGCTCCTCTCCCAACACCCTGCCTTTTGTCACGTGCTGCTCAACTTTCTCCCTCTGGCACAGAACATTTCTAGAAAAATCTACTTTTGTATCGTTGTGAATAAAGTTAGTGTGTTGTGTGTGCAGCTGCAACCTGGACTCCCACGCACTCCTGTCTGCTCTGCTTCCAGACCGGGGCCGCAGCCTCTGTCTGGAGCCAGCCCCCGGTCCTCGGGAGAGGCGCAGACTCTCCAGGGTTCGAATGGGAGCTAATAACCTGGAGTTGGCGGAGCTAGGATTCGAACCCAGGCATGCCAAACCTCTTCAATGCCTCTCCTCTCAGTTCTCAGGCAGCTGCTTTGTGCCCTTGGGTCTCAGGAATGATGTACGTCATGCAGGCTTGAGATTAAGCAAACTGCCTGCCACACCTTAGGCAAAATTACCTAAACTCAGGTAGACCAAGGCTGTGAGATGTCACAACAGACATCTCACCCCTGGTGGCAAGGGGCACCTCGTCCCTATCCCCTTGCTCCCAGAACTGTCCTTCCCGTATGGTCCCAGATGCGCCCTCCCTTGTGTTTCATGAGCATCCTCAGACAAAGAAATGAGACAAAATGAACCTTGGGCCTGCAGTGACTTGGGCGTTACAGCCACTTCACCTTGCCAAGGCTCAGTCCCCCCACCTGGAAAACAGGGCAAGTCCTCTCTGCCCCTTGTAGGGAGCGAAGGGACCAGCGATGAGACCCCCTGGTCCTCCTAGGCCTCACCTGGGCTCGACTGAGGCGCATGCATTCACTTGTTTAATCTTCATACATTCCAGTATGTTTGACCTCTCAAAGGCTAGAAGTGGGCAAAACCACCACTTGGCAAAATCCCAGAAGATCTCTCTCTCTCCAGATAGACGCTTGGAATTCTTCTTTCAGGTTAGGCTGCTTCCTTGCTCTCAGAAAAATACACTATGGACCTTTGGCTATTGACGATGGAGCCAAGCGTTTATCCTGGAATGGGAGAGAGAGTTGGTGGTGAGCCGCCCCGCCCCGCTTGGCGATGAAAGGGTGCTTGCCCCGTGGCTGGAGGGGCATCTCTACAAGTGTCTAGAGGACAGGAGAGGCGCCTGGCTTTCTCCTCCCGGGTCCTGAGGAGTTGGGGGCCTATTCTCCTAGGTCCTCAGGAGTTGGGGGCAAACCTGTGCCACTCCACATGGGAGAGGCGGGCCCCTGAGACTCGCCACTGGCTCTGGGCTAAGGAATCCTGTAAAGGGCTCAGTCTACGTACAGTTGCACAGGTTCTCACCACGTATCCCCTGCTTTTCGTTGTCCTTAGGCTTTCAGTCTAGTCATACCTTAGTCTGGTCCTAACTGTGCTGCAGAGTGTTGGGTGGTGGGTCCCTGCATAAGGGGAAACACAGCTGCCGGGCAAAGCCATTTGGGGGGCCCCAGGAGATGAGTGAGCACTTTTCAGGATTCCACATGTGCTGCTTGGGGTGGTGGTGGGGGGTGGGGGTGGGTAGAGGGAATGTGAGAAGGGGGGGAGCAGACCAGTCAAAGAGGGGATGTCTGCCCCGAGCCGGGAAGGCTTGCAACCTCTAGGTGTTTGGGCACTAAAGGAAGGTGTGTCATCCACTGTCCCAGAGGTCCCCGGACCTCCCTGGAAAGGAAGGACACAGGCGCACAGCACCACCGAGCTCTCAAAACTCAGCTTTATTGACTGACGTCCAGTGTTTCCCTCTGGCCTCTGCTCAGCCCAGCTGGCTTTGATAGGTCTCTGAGACACAATGACACAGGGTCTGGCATACCCCGGCTCCACCACTCCCCTCCCTGGCCACCAGGCTCCCCAGGCAGGGAGGAGGAGTGGCAGCTCAGCTGTGGTGCTGGAAAAAATGGTCAGCGGGATCAGAGGCCATAGAAGCCATACAAGCAGCAACATGCCTGGTGTACCCATCGCATGCCAATCCCAGATCCAGACACACACACACACACACACGCACACGCACACGCACACGCACACGCACGTGTGCGCGGCAGAGGGCCCTTCCCTTCAAGCTCTCTGCCGGTCCACACCCATCAACATTTTAGGGATCCCGTCCCAACTGTTCCTCAGACCCCAGTACTGTCCACAGAAAAAGAGCCTCTCCCAGATGCCACAGGGCTTTGATTTGTACACGCTAATCCCGCTGCTAGCAAGAGGTGTCAGGGGAATGGAAGCTCGGACCATTACCCCTTCATCCACATTTTCACCATCCCTGCTAGGGACACATCAAATGGTAAGTTCTCCCCATCTTACAGCCAGTGACAGGCTGACCTGGAGTGGAACTACATGTCCCAAGATGCACAGCTCCATAACCACACACCACTTCCCCCAAGCACAATCTATCAGAAATGAGGCCGGGTGTGTTGCATTCTGGGACTAGTAGTATCCAAGAGACAGCACTAAACACCCAGTGACGAGTTTACAGGCTAAGACTACTGACGCCTCCCACCCAGCCCCCACCCACCACCCAAGCCCAGCTCTATGCTCAGCACAGGTGAGGGAGAGGAATGGAGGGTCCCCTCCCAGCGCACAGAGGAGAGCGCTGTCCTGTAGGAACTGTGCATCGACTCTGGATCCTGGACATCCAGCTCAGAACACATCTGGGGAGAGAGTGGGGGTGGGTGACAGGAGAGAGGGTCAGCAGCAAGCCGTGGAGGATAGTGCCACAGAGCATGCAGACCTGGGCTAGTCCTATGGCCTCTCCCTGAGCCCTGATGCATGGTGAAGTAAGATGGGGCACAGTCTCCTCGTAGGCCTCCCTCCTGGGGCTCTCTGGCACTATCCCAGTGTTCCAGGGTTAGCGGGCCTCACCTCTACTTAGTCCCGAGGCTTAGGGCAGGCTGAGACAGCAAGAGGAAGGGAGGAGGAGTGGGCTCTGGTTCCGAATCTGGATGACCCAGAAGTTCCCACCCCACCCAGCTTGCCTCCCCGGAAGACCTTATGGCCCTACCAGCCACAGCATCTTCCTCGACACACAAAGAGGCCTTTCTGGGAAAGGAAGAAGGGAGTCCTAGCCAGAAAGCAGAGAAAGCAAGCGATGCGGCCCACGGGCAATTGCAGAGTAAGGAAGAGCAGCGGCACGAGAAGGGAAGCAACGGAGACAGTCAGAATTCAACACAGCACAGAAACCAGGGCAAGGTGCCCGCAGCTGGACAGGGAGAGCTGAAGACTCCTCCGTGGAGCTGGTGACTCAGGCTCAGAGAACCCCAGGCCAAGTCCTCCTTCCTTGACATCATCAGCAACACAGGTTGCAGAAGATCTGCGCACAGAAGGCCTGTCCCAAACCACTAGGGAGCCCCCATCATATACGAAGTGCATCCTGGCTCCCCAGGTCCTCCCACAGCCCTGGTGCCCCCAGCCTGGGCTTCACCAGGGACCTATAAGCCCAGCAGAGCAAAGCCTGAGTCCACACTGGAGTGCAGGGGACCTGGAGGGAAACTGTAGGGGGAGCATGGAATTGGAGGGGCCACACCCCCCTCTGTTCTGGCAGTGAGCAGGACCAAGGTCACCAGAATTGGGGTGGGGTGAGCCTGGTGATCAGAGGATGAGGCACCGAGAGGCCTTATCCTCCAGGGGTGAGCCAGGTATGGCTGTGTCATCCCTTGCACTCCCATGAGTCCCCCCCATGCCCGGATCTTGGTACTGGGCCTTGGGCTGCCCCTGCCGTCTTCGCTGTGCGTCCCGCCCACCTGCTGGTTTCTTCCCAGCTGCCTCCATCTCTGACAGGCTGTAGGCCATGGCAAGCTGCATGTCCTCATCTTCATCCAAGAGACTGCTGTCAAGAAGGCGTGAGGCAGGGGGCTGCTGCACCTGAGCGCCCCCAGAGCTGGAGGTGACAGCCTGGCGCTGTTCCCGACGGCTTAGCTCCAAGCCCAGTTCCAGGTCGTCTGGGATACCTGCAGGAGTCACAGCCACCATGAGGCCCTCTGGCCCAGCCCAGGCTGCCTCATGCAGCAACGACTCTGGCCACTTCCAGCTCCTCTTTTGGAACTGGCATCCATGCATGTGAACACCTAGCATAGTCGTTATGAACTTGGGCAGGGATTCAGTTCCAGCATGAGCTACCTCCCTGGGCAAGTTATTCAACCTCCCTGAGCCTCCCTTTCCTCATCTATAAAATGGGAATGATGAGAAACCCTGCATTGCCAAATTGTTCCAATGATTACACAAGACAGCACAATGTTCCCAAGGTCAGTAGGTCGGCAGGCATGAAAGGGTAGCCATGGCGACCACCCTGCACAAGGAGGAGTTGTGATAAGAGTTCATCTCCAGGAATCCTGCATCCTGAGTTTCATTCCTGGATTTCCTCCGTACTAAGTAGGACAGAGCCTTGGACCCGAGGTTACTTGGGTTTAGAGCCATTTAACTGTGCTGAGGCGCAGCCTCCTCCAGTGAAAACTAGGGCAAACACCAACTGCCCTGCTTTTCCCTGGCTGTTTGAAGAATATAGAGGATGTGGTATGCATGCAAGTGCCTTAAAAACAGCAGAGTTCTACAAATGCACCCCACTAATGATAACGGTTATTAGCTGTGTCCTTGGAGGCTTCTCAAGCCCCTGTCCTGGTTCCCATCCCCATGATCACTAACAAGAGATCCTGCAAGTCTGGCCTGTGGTTGCCATTTCCTTCCTGCTCCAAGGGAGTGGAGACTGCAGCAGTGCGAGGAGGTAGCTTTGGGGCGTGGGTCTGGGGCTGAGTTCCTGCCAGGGACTGAGTGGCAGAGCTGCTCCTCACCATTGATTGACACGGACTTCAGCTGCCCGTCCTCCTCCACTTCCACCCGCTCCTGCCCGTTCTCCATGATTCTGGGGGAGACAGCACAGGTCATTCAGCGGGCAGGCCTGAGTCCCACAGGCGCTGGTCCAGGCTCTGGGATGCTGCAGTGAACAGGACTGACTGGGCTCTGCCCTCAAGGGGCTGACTTTTTGGTTGTATGCAGCTCCCCTTCCAACCCGTATGGCCCCAGAAGGAGCCCTCACCTGCGTGTCGTGATGCGGTGTCCTTGGACAATGGCGGTGGATGTAGAAACAGAGCGGAAAGCACCAGCCCCAGGACTGAAGGAGAAAGACGAGGCGGAGATATCTGGCATTGGGACAGAGGAGGAGGAGGAGGAGGAGTTATTAGACCGGGATTGTATGCAGCAGGCTGTAGTCACCATGGGCCAGGAACCTGTGTGCTCCCCCCCCCCCACAGGCAGGGCTCTGGATGCAGCAGAGCGCCCTGGAAAAGCCAGGAGCTGAGGCAAGGGGTTCCAGGACGCAGAGGTTGTGAAAATGGGAAGGGACAGCACTTACTAGCACGTCCAGGGAAGGAGGTCGAGAAGGCAAAGAAGGGGCCTGCGGGTCGGGAACCCCGGCTGTGAAGATCTGAGAAGGGGCTCAATTCTTCTGCAACAGTAAGCATATTAACAATCATCTGATGAAGAGATTTCCTCAAAAATATGTGTGTATATATATATATATATATATATATATATATATATATGTGTGTGTGTGTGTGTGTGAATCCTTCTTTAAAGTCTAGAAACACAAGCTGCTAATCATAAACCATAAGTCTGATTTTTTTTCTTTTCTGCTTGAACTTATTTATAAATTCCTTTTTAATGTTATATGTGAAAAAGCTCAGTAGTGAATCCTGTCCACAATAAAGAATAAAGGAAGTAGGTGGGAAGGGAAAGAGTGAGGGAGGACAGGTAGTTCCTTCAATATAAGAAGAGCAGTATGGTGTGATGTCAGGCAAACACAGCGACGAGTCCCGCTCTGCCGTCTGCTGTGCCTCTAAGCAATTGATTTGAAAGTGCCTCAGTTTTGTCATCTGCAGATGGGGATAAAATTATCTGCCTCATAGGGTTCATATTAAGCATTTCAAAAAATGGTCTCTGCTGTTGTTTGTGATGGCATTAATACTGTCACGTGAGGCTTTGAGCCTTGCTTCGTGGCTGTCATTGTGGAAGCCTAACAATGTATCATTGTTATCGTTTAATATGACAAGTCTCCAAAGCGCCACTCCGGGGCCACGTGAGTTCAAGCCTGTGTAAGGTTCTGTCCCCACTCTCACTGGGTCCACCCCCACAACATCTTCTGTCTGTGGAATTCTGCTTCCCTCTCTGCCTTCCCCATCAGGACCTCCCAGCGGACGGAGGGCGGGCCTGCGAGGGGCGGGGGGGTCAAGCTGGTCAGAGGCCTCCGGAGTCCACTCACCAAAGAGCTCCGCGAAAGGGTCTCCAGTCCCGAAGAACTCCCGGAAGACCTCCTCGGGGCTGCGGAAGGTGAAGGTGAAGCCGGGCCCACCACTGCCAGCTTCCGCCCGAGATGGGCCAGTTCCTGGAGAGGCAGATTGAGGAGGGGGGCTTAGCGTGCACACCCTGGCAGAGCCAAGGCACCTCACCTAAGGCACGGCCAGGAGCCCTGAGAGAGCATCACTGCAAGAAGCTGCCCTCCCCCTCTCCTCCCTGACCCACTTCCATTTCTGGGCCCCACCACCCCACCTACCTGCTCCAGTCAGCCCTTCCCGGCCATAGCGGTCATAGATCTCTCGCTTATGCTCTGGAAGAAGAGACCAGGTCATTTCTCCCTGCCTCTGGGGTGACGGCCTCCCCTTTTTTCCCCAAGACCCTCAGAAGATCGCCCAGAGGCTGACACTTGGGGGTAGCAAGGTGCAAAGGGGACAGGGGCTATAGGATTTAGCTGCAGCTCATCTGTAAAATGGACATAACAGCACCTACCTTCTAGGGTTGTTGCGGGATTAAATTGAGACAATTCATGTAAACAGCTTAACACCATGCTTGATGCATAGCAGGTGTTCTGTCAATGTGAGCTCATTGTTACTGTGTTATTCTTGGTTAGGGCTCAGCTTACATGTCACTTTCTTAGAGAGGTCTCTGAGACCATCGCAGCCCCCTGCTACTTTCCTTTGGAATACTCTTGCTTATCTATTTATTTGGCGAATGTCAATCTTCCCTGACCAGAAAATGATAAACCTATCAGGATGAGGACAGTGCCTTTTTGCCCTCCATTGCTCCCCAGGACCCAACAAGGGCCCAGCACCATAAACATTCAATGAATATTTTTTGAATGAATGCAAAAAAGACTTGGATTCCTATTCCAGCTGTGTGATCTTGAGCAAGTCACTTCACCACTCCTAGCCTCAGTTCCCTTGCCAGTAAAATGGGGGTGATAGATTCTGCCTCGCAGGATGACTGTGAGTACCCTTGGAGATTACACCCACCAATGCCTGGCACAGAGGCGGCTCGGCATACATGCCCGGTATCCTTTCCTTGCTCAGGACCCATGTTGCAACTACTAGACATTGGGGAGCAGACACTGAGCTCAGAGGATCAGGGGAAGAACAAAAAGGTAGTTTGCACATAGTAGGTGCTCATTTGAAGGAACAAGGCCCCAGAGTCCCTGTGGGAAGTGCCTGTGTGTGGTGGTGGTAGGGGGGGAGGGGTACCTAAATGCCAGCTTGGAAAAGGCATGGCTTTAGGAAGGAATGCAATGGGGCATGAAGTGGGGGTGATGGATGCTGCCCTGCTCTGTCCGTGGCCTTACGGTCTGACAGCACTTCATATGCCTCCGCCACTTCCTTGAACTTCTTCTCAGCAAACTCCTTATTATCTGGGTTCTTGTCCGGGTGCCACTGTAGAGCCTTGCGCCGATACCTACAGGAAGTGGGTTCAGAGGGGAGTGTCGAGGGACAAATGCAGGCACTTCCCATCAGAGAACAGGATGACCCACTTTCCCATTAGCCAGCCAACGTCCTTTCATACGTGAGCCTGTTCCACCCCAGCGGCTGGGCGGCCTCCGCTGCGGTGCTTTAACGGAGTGCTATCTCTCCTCTGCAGCCGGTGCTAGGACCACTTGTAGTGACAGATGATAATGTGGGGGTGAGAAAGCCCAGCCCCAATTCTCCCTGGAGCTCCATGGGGCTGGGGTGGCAAAGGTGTGTGTGGGGGGGGGGGGAGAAGGAGGGTAAGGGGGAGCGTGTACATGTGGCCACGGAGAGTAGAGGGACTGTGGTCCCTCCTGGTCACAGTGCCTGGGCATCTTTGCCCAGCATCCTGAGAAAGCCCCTATCTAGGGGCTGGGGGTTGGGGGAGGACTAGAAGGGAGGAGAAGGCAAAGTTTACTAAAGAAGGACCCAGCTCCCAGCAGAACTTCACAGCTACGGACGTTCTCCTGCTCATCCGGGGGTCTCCCTCCTCCCTACAGATGTCAAGGACTTGGCTCTGCCTCTGACGGGCCCCAAGGTGCCGGTGGTGGGAGGCGGGGGTGGGAGAGGCTTCGCGGTGCGCAAGGGAGGCACTTACGCCTTCTTGATGTCATCTGCGGAGGCAGTCGGCGGCACGTCTAGGATCTCATAGTAGGATGCCATGGCAACCTGTCAGCAGTCAGGAGGGGCCTCCGTGGGCTGCAGGAGAGAAGGATGAGTCAGGCAGGAAGACCCAAGGGCGCCTCCCTGGGGCCGGAGCCCCCCAAGGTGGCTGGCGGGCGGCGCTCCCAGGGGAAGCGGAGCCCACCGGGCTCTGCTCGCGGCGGGGGACCGGGCTCGCTCGAGCAGCCTTATCGGCCCCCGCAGGCCGGTGCCACTGGCTATCTCGGTGCCCAAGCCCAGAGAGCCCTATCGCAGCAGCCCCTCACTCCGCAGCCCAGCCCAGAGCCCCCAGTCGGAACGGCACCCTGCCCGCACCTCCTCGGCCCGGAGTCCTCGGGCCCCTGCGGCGCCCCGCCCCTGCACCCCGCGGGGAACCGTCTGGCACCCGCTGCCTGGCTCGCGGCTGCTGCGTAGGACGCTCCCGGCCCAGCTGTGCGCGCAGGCATGCGTCAGCTGCACGGAAACTACTAGAGAGTCAGAGGAGGCCGGTCCGGCCAGTCACCGGGGTGTGGGGAGGGGTGGGGGTGGGGGTGCTGCTGCACGGGCTGCCGGGAGATGGGGGCGGAGCCGGCTATTTTGGGCTTGCACCGGGACGACGTCATCCCCAGCTGGGACCTGGGAGACGGTGGCGAGCTCCATCCAGGCTTGACACCGTTTGCCAACCCACAGGCCACCTGGCCCCTGGTCCCGCTGTCGCTTCTCTGTAAGCAGGGCTCAATGATCGATAGTTACCCCGGAGGAAATCGCCACCTCAAGGACTCACTGATTTCCCCTTTGGGCCTAAATCCTCCCCCCTTTTTTCAGATTCCACCTCTAGCCCCAGGTCCTCAAAAGAGGACAGACCTGCCTCTCTCATAGCACCTTGTGGCATCCTTAATCACACTTGGCAGAGTTACAAATGACCATTTATTTGTTTATTTGATTGACATCTACTTTGCCCACTAAAATGTAAATTCCTCAGGGCAGAGCTTGTGGTTTTTGTGTTTTTGTTTGTTTGTTTGTTTGTTTACTAGAGTATTGGGACTCAAATACAGTGGTGGGGTTCAAAAACAACCATTGGATGATTAAATAATGCACAGTTGCAAACCTCTTACTGACAGTTTTGACACGTTTGGGGAAGTAGAGCTAGAAGGTAAAAGGAAAACAAAACAACAACAAACAAACAAACAAAAAAAGGAAAGGAAATTCTCTGGTTTTAAGATTTTCCTTCCCAATGTGATCCTATTAAGTAGACTTCTGCCTCAAAGTGACTCCTGGGTTCAGGCTTCCCGGGAGATTTAGAGAACTTCCAGAATTGGTTCTGCTTGATATCTACCAAGCATTAATTGAACATCTTCTCCATAGCAGAGGTAGCCAGGATATAAAAGGAAGACTGTGGCCCATTCCCTGCCTCCTCAGAGTCCCAATGTGGTAAGATACTAGCCCCTTAACACAGCTCACAGGGAAACCCCAAAGTTTTGAAAATAGATTTGGATTTGCAGCCTGGCACTACTATATGATTTGGGGAAACCTCTAAGGACTCCATTTTCCTCCCTACATACAGGGAATGTCTAGGACTGTTTGAAAGTCAGATGAGGTGGAGTGCGTAGTCAGTCTTAGCACAGTCCTTTCCGGCATCATTATTGGCCCAAGCAGTAATGGCCATGAATCCAGAGGAGTGTTTAGATTTTATAACCCAGAAACACTTCTCCAAGGAGAAGAGCTTAAGCCAGATATGGTCAAAGAGTGGTATTTAGAAGTGGTATTCAGAGGGAGTATTTAGAAGCTCATTTTGGCTGAATAGCTCAGCTACGTCCTCAAATAAGAGAACTTTGTCCAGTTGTCCTGGCTGCCCACAGTCTGAGCCTCCTGCCTACATTTGGGGAATTCCTATTGCGTAGGTCTTGATGGCAGCTAGGCCAGCTACCGCCTGCCAGAAAGCCCGGACACTTGCTCCCCTAGACTTCTCGGCTCCAAGGGTGCAGGCAAAAGACACGGCTCAGCCAGTGGCAAGCTCCCACTGGGACTCTGAATCTGGATCAAGTCACAGAAAAGCTGGGGCAGTTGAGAAATCATTTCTGCATTGTGATGGCAGTGGAGGCAGCAGTGGCCTCTAGTGTCTGGAGGAGAAAATGTCAGCCTTGGTGCCTGGTGGGAGGGGGCCTCACTGCAGTGGGCAGAGGGACTCGCAGGCTATCCTGTGCCCTGACCTTGACTATGGTGCCAGCTGCCCACGTTCCCTTGGTGCTTACCTGTTTGCAGAGGCTTGTTTGGTGGCCCTCATATTGATTCTGTGTGCTACCTGATATCTCTCTAAGACTGTGTGTGTGTGTGTGTGTGTGTGTGTGTGTGTGTGTGTGTGTGTTTTAATCTGCCAGGGTTAGTTTCTGCTGTTTACAACAAGAGTACTGACTGATCTTGGTTAAGAGAATAAGGTTAGGTTAGATCACTCTAAAATCTTCCAAATCTCTCTCTTCTTCTCTTATCCCCACAGACATTTTTCTAGCACCTTCTATGTATGTGGTTATATTAAGAATAGGAATACAAAGAGGCTTAAGTTCCAGTCCCTATACTCAAGAAGATGAAAATATAGCTGGGAGAAATGATATAAAACACATCTAGCAAGCAGGATTCATCTCCTTTGGTCACAAAGAATTCCAACAAATCAATAAGAAAAGGCAAACAAAGCCATTTTTTTAAATGGGCAAAGGGCACAGATAAGACAGTTCATAGAAGAAAAAGTACCAACTTTTAAACAATTTAAAAAATGCTCAACCTCATTCATAATAAGAGAATTATGAGGGAAATCTGTGACAAAATACTTTCACTTACCAGGTGATTGACAAAGATTATAAAGTCCAGTACATCATATGGGCAAGGCTTGTGGGCACAGGCATCCTCATACACTGGAAGAGGGAGGATAATTTGGTATAATTTCTAAGCAGAACAATATGGGTATATTAAAATTAAAGTTGCATAGCCTTTGACCACGATTGCAATTCTAATAACTTATGGTTGATTATACGTGCAAATAAGTATACACAAGGGTTGCAGCATTCTTTTCAATAGCAAAGAATTGGAAACAACCTGAATACCCATTTAACCAGCACACTGGTTAAATAAATGATAGAATGAATGGAATATTAAATTGCCACCAGGTAGAACGGGGTATGTTCTAACACAGACCATCTTCTAGATTTATTGTTAAGTGGGGTAGAGGGGGGACAGGTATAGAACAAAGTGTATGTAGATGTGAATACACACATTAGTATGTATACAAGTAGATGTCTTTAGAAGGAAACACTAACAAAAATGTTACCAGTGGTGGCTGCCAAGAGAGAAACCAATGAAGGAAACATTTTCACTGTATAAACTTATTTTTGTTAATATCTTTAGTACTTTTGAAATCTGAAGCATGTGTACCTAACTGTACAGATACTTATAGAATTTTTTAAAATATATTTTATTTGATTTTGTACAGAGAGGAAGGGAGAGAAATAGAAACATCGATGAGAGAGAGTCATCGACCAGCTGCCTCTTGCACACCCCCTACTGGGGATATGCCCGCAACCAAGGTACATGCCCTTGACCGGAACCGAACCCGGGTCCTCCAGTCCCCAAGCCGACGCTCTATCCATTGAGCCAAACCGGTTTTGGCAGAATTTTTTTTAAAAATCTAGTTGGGAAAATGGGTTACCAGTAAGAAGCTAAGCAGCCTATGCCAAGTACAAAATGAGTGACAGACACAGTAGGGGCTGGGAGAAGCGAGAGGAGACAGAGCTCCCAGGGTTGGATGGGTTCTGGGTGACCATGACCTAAGCTGAAAGGAATGACAACATTGAGACAAACAGAGGGAGTGGCATTCCAGAAGGAGAGAATGGTGAGAATGCAGGTTTGGAGGCAGGCATGTTCCTGACACATCAGAGGCGAGAAAATGAAGGTGTATGGTGGGATCCAAGGCTGAGAACCTGTTCTGTGTCTGCCTGCAAGAGATAATTGTAGTCTAGCTCTAGAAGCTTCAGGGATGAAAGCATTCCCCTTCACCGAGGGAGTCCAAGGAGCCCGGCTAGGTCACTCCCAGCTGCCCTGTGGAGGTCAGAGCTGCCACCTCTACACACCCACACCCAGTCCAACCTAGGCCTGCCAGCACCTGCCAGCAGAGTTTCTAGCTGGGAGGCCTTTTGGGTCTGAGAGGAGATGGCCTTACAGCTGCCCAGGCTGGGCTGGCTGGTACCGTGGACAGAAGGGGAGCCTGACTGCCTCTCTGGATGCCCAGCATCCTGGCAGGTGAGGCCCTCCCTGCTGGCCTCCCCAAGCCCTCACCTCACCTCCTACGAGATGTTGGGGGGTAGGGAGAGGACTTTTTAGAAGGCACTGACAGCCCCAAAACATGGGCCCAAAGACACCTCTGTTCTTGTTCAGCCCAGAAACTGGACTCTTGTTACCACCACTCCCCCCACCCCCAACAAATGCTTGGGCAGGGCATTGTCAAGGGGAGTGTCACCCCCTCCCTGCCTTTGAGGCACCTGAGTCACTGTCTGGGAATTGGGGATTTGGCAGGCCCAGAAAAGTTGGTGTTTGGAGTGGGGCCTATAACTGCTATAGGCAGGAGAGGGGGGCATCTGAAGAAGGGGAGGGCAGCAGCATAAGTTTGGCCCAGGCTGGCCTGGGGTTTGAATCCTTATGCCTTCCTTTACTGGCTGAGTTACCTTGGACAAGCCTCAGTCTGCACATCTATAAAATAGGCATTCATTTAACAAGTCTATTCAACAAATACTGAATAGATAATATGTTGGGCAGCATTCTGGGACTGAGAGTAGAATAGACCCTGTTCCCATGAAGCTTCCAGTCCAGTAGGTATAACTGTATTTACCTCAGGATTAAACCAGGTAATATAGACATAGGGCCCAGTAGATGCTCAATAAATGACATGATTGCTTGAAGCTGTCTCTCCAAAAACCTCTCTTCCCTCCCCAAGTTTGAAACCAATCGAGAAAGAGAAAGACATGAGTCAAATAAAG